AAGGGAATACCCAGGAAAACAAATTCACTTCGCAGGAAACTAAATATTCGCCCCCACCCCCCTAGAACTTGAGTCCCAAAATTTGATAGAAAGTATGGCCACTTTCTAGAGAACGTGAACATTATTAAGAAATCATGATTTCAAGTACGAGAAAGACATGGGCCATGTGCACAAGTTAGGAGTAACCTTGTATCATGTAAAAAATTGGACTCAGGACTCATTCTGTCCTCAAAGAGGAAAGACTGAGTAGTTAATAATAAATCTTTTGGGAGTGGATTGGTCTTTTTTAGAGAAGAAAAAACAAGGGTGATTCTATGTGAACTTTGAAGAAATGTTTTCTCCATTAGTCCTATCTATGGAATTTTTTCATTGTTGCTGGTTCAGGGGAGGATGCTAAACTCTTTTTTTTTTTACAAAAGGAAAGTAATACTTTCTAACCTAACCAATTGCACGGAATCAGGGTATTCCTGGTGTCAATATTCATGAAATAATGTTGGAATCACAAACACGTATGTCACAGGTTTTGCTGGATCGGGCGAATTGTCGGCATTACAAATGCAGTTTTATTTAACTCAGTAATTCAGATTAGTAATTTAGTTCCGACCGCCAAACAGTTTTATCTATTACTCTGCAGGGATTGCATCTCAGAAACAACGGGCTCAAATCTCTTCCCACTACTATATTCAGACTTTGTAATCAACTCTGCACATTGGATCTCCATGGTACTGAAATAACGATTGATTATCTCCGTCAACTAGACGGTTGGAATGAATTTGATGAGAGACGGATGTTAAAGCATCAAAAGCAGCTGGATTTCAGAGTGAGTAGTTCAGGCAAATTTGATGAAGGTGCTGATAAAAACTGAAGAGTTATATATACTCAATGGCTGAAAGTCGCTACTACCGCATTGAAATTAAAACATACGTAGTATGTGATTGTTCTTCCTTTGAAACAATTTTCAAAAATTCATTGAAGCTTATGAGGTTTGCAGAGCTACAATGGCGCTCACAGAACTATGTTACTAAGCAGGCGATTTATTAAAATTTGGCTGGAGTAGTTTAATGGGTTGTAATTAATATTTGAAGTAGTGTATATTTTATTAATAGAATTTAGAAAAGATTACATGAAAAATAGTTATAATAATCTTCTAAAGTAACTCCAACCGATTCAGCCAGAATAGTAATTATAACCTTACTTATATTACATGATTCAGCATGCGACGTCAAAAATTGCATTTTTTTTTTATAAAAACAGTTGATTGATAAGTCTGATAAGTTGAAAATAAGGGTTACCAAACAAACTCTAAAATCATCGATCAAACTCTTTAAATGGTAAAAAACACCCAATTCAAAATTAGATGGTTACTTGCATGTTTTCTGGTTACCATTGATGTTGCAGCCCATGTTCATTCTTTTTATCTATTTTAAATTCCATGTGGTACTCTTTCATTTATTTCATGTAATGAAAAATGAAGTTGTCCCTTGACCATTTTTTCCTTGGACCATTCACCAAATCTCACAAATTTCCCAAATCGATCACCTCCTGCCTCCTCTGGAACTACCCGTTCCACCCTAGCAAGCTTAGCTCCACAGGACCACAACCACTATGTTGCAGGCGACATCTTCGGCATTATCGTACAATGATGAATGTTTCGAGCTCTTCTCAATCAAGCCCATACAATACACCTCCCTAGGGGCGGAGGTATATATGGGAAGTATTTGTGGAAGAGTACTCTTATCTCCTTATTTAAGAATAAGGGCAAGCACAATGATGTGTCAACTATCAAGAGATTAAGATTATGAATCATACCATGGAATTTTGATAACAAGTGATTGAACAAAGGTTATGAAGAAGTATAAAGATATAAATAATGACTTGCATTCGGTGCTCATTGACTTTGAAAAAATGTATATATCATGTGAGGATATCAACGTCATTATGAATAATTGAATATGTATGGAGATTCTACTATGAAAGCTCGTCATACTAGTTTTTGAAGAACTTATTTGACTATTTAGCTACAACCACATCAAAGTTGAACTTGAAGTTTAAATGTTAAAATGAAACTTTGCTCTTCTTAGCTAGTTCAGTGTACAAATTGCACATTTATTTAGTTGATGGGTCGAATTGAGAAAGAGGTATATGGACTTATTTGGTCACTTATTTAGTTTGTTAAATAGTTGTAGTAAACTAGTAATAGACCTGTATTATGATATAGGAAAAAGGGTCAAATACACCCTTCTACTATTACAAAACAGTCACATAAACCCTTCTACTAATAAAAGTATCATCCAAGTACATTTACTTCAGAAAAATCATCAAATAGGCCATCTGACCTGATAGCTACCTGTAATAACAGGTCATCCATTTTTTCGTCTTCACCCTCATACGGAATGTTTTGTTCCACAATCTCTTCTCATATTTTTAAATCTTTTTCTTCACAACCTATGGGGGCCGATTCTTCTTCATGCCGTCCCCATATCTCATTTTCATTGTTCGTTGTTACTTCCTATTTCATTTTTTTTCTTTTTTATTTTAATTTTTTAATTTTATTGATGGATTTCATTCTTTTTTCAATTTCTGTTTTTCTAAAAAAATTGTCTTTATTGTTATTTCCCTTTTGTTCTCCATTTCATATTTTCTTTGCTTTTCTTTCCCTCTTTTCCTTCGTTCCTCCTGAGATATGTTTTAATTGAACAATTTTTAAGAAATAATTACTACAGAGTATATTTTTTGTACACATTTTATAAAAAAAAAAACAATGTACCGACAAGTTTGTTAGATAAGCGAGGGAACAAACAAAAAAATACCAATGTGAAAACTAAACTCTTAAAAACAATAAACAATTTTTATCTAGGCTAAAGCTTTTGTTGTTATGAACACCTATTATTGTATATATGAATTTTATCAGTGATTTATTTTTTAAATTTATCTATGGCCCAACTATAGAGACAAACAAATATAGGTGCTGCGGCGTATTTTAAAGGGGTTTTTACAAGAATATTACTAAAATAAAACTTATTTACATAGATATGACCACAACGTAATGTTGTGGTAACTTAAGTTCAAAACTTAAACATGAATTACTATGATTTCATTACTACTCTAGTAACTAGTCATATTTTTGTAATCCATCTTTATTTTGGTCATATTTATGTAATACGTATACAAAAGTGTACTTGGTATAATTTTTTTTAACTACGTATAAAGTTATAATACTATCCTCCGTTTTTTTAATCGTAACATGTTGAATTTTACACTATTCACATGTTCTACTTTGACTACATTTTATACTATTATTTTATGAAAATTATTTTTAAAAAAATATAGTGTTCAATCCATCTCATTACAAATTTTCTAAATCTAATTTTTAATTTTTTTTACTAATAGAGAATAAGATATACTTACGGTTAAAGATGTGCGTTGACAAATGTGAAATGTTGACCGTTGTAACTAAAAAAGAAAGAAGGAAGTATTAATCAAGCTATAAAAAGTAACCACGTTAATACAAATTTAATGGCGATAACAACATTTGAACATGAGAAATAACTAAAAGAATAAGTGTTATTTTTTCAAAAAGAAAAGAATCTTTAATGACAATTTACATCTTTATTTTTTTTAAATGAGCATATTTTTGAGATTCGGTGCGGGTATCAATCGGATCGGTCACAATTGTGATTCCTACACCCGTGTGGTTTGTGAATGGAATAAGGCATGCATAAAAGTAGGAAGAATGAACAAACATTACTCCATAACATGCATCAATCTAGGAAAAAACATAAGTAGTCATATCCGAGGATAACACTATTTTTAGTATTATTAGTAGTAATTATTTCTTAAAAATGGTTCAATTAAAACATATCTCAGGAGGAACGAAGGAAAAGAGGGAAAGAAAAGCAAAGAAAATATGAAATGGAGAAAAAGGGAAATAACAATAAAGACATTTTTTTAGAAAAACAGAAATTGAAAAAAGAATGAAATCCATCAAAAAATTAAAAAATTAAAAAAAAAAAGAATGAAATACGAAGTAACAACGAACAATGAAAATGAGATATGGGGACGGCATGAAGAAGAATCGGCCCCCGTATGTTGTGAAGAAAAAGATTTAAAAATATGAGAAGAGATTGTGGAACAAAACATTCCGTATGAGGGTGAAGACGAAAAAATGGATGACCTGTTATTACAGGTAGCTATCAGGTCAGATGGTCTTTTTGATGGTTTTTCAGAAGTAAGTGTACTCGGATGATACTTTTATTAGTAGAAGGGTTTATGTGATTGTTTTGTAATAGTAGAAGGGTTTATTTGACTCTTTTTCCTATGATATATAATACCTGTCTATTATATAATACCTGTATTATTTAGTTTGTTAAATAGTTGTAGTAAACTAGTAATAAACCAATATTATGATATATAATCGGACTAGACAATTCAACCCGGAACCTGGCCACCTACCCGTAAAACTGGAAATAATATGCGGTCATCCTAAGCCGGACCGGACCAGAACCTTGGAAACTCGGAAACCAAGAGATTTTTCTAAACTTTTTTTTTTCATATTAAAAAAACTTCGTTGTAGTACTAGTGTACTACAAAATAACATCAGGTGAAACCCTTCATTTTCTGACCATAATAACAACAATAATTGGGCTGTCCATTTCAATTTCAGCCCATTTAAAGTCTATACATCGGCCTGTATAAACACTAGCCCAGTGACCCAGTCTATTTGTTTTTCTCCGGTCTCCTTCCTCGCCTTGAATTGGTGATTGCACGCCCTCTCTTTTTTGTTTTGTTCTCAAAGAAAAAAGCACACTTAGGTTAGCTTTTATATTTGATACTAGTTATTACACGCGCGATGCGCGAGAAGATGAATGCCCAAGGAAACTTTAGGACTGCACCAATTTTTGTTAAAAAGTATATGGAATTCTTATTTTAGTGGGTACTTTGTTGTTGCTTTGGATGTTGTTTGATGAAAATGCTCCAGTTTTGAATATTGAATTTTTGGAATGTAGATTTTCAATATATTGTTTTGCATTGGATTATAATAGACATTTTACATGTCTCTAGGTGGCTATATAACAATTTCCATTGAAACAATGTTATACTACGTATAAGATTACATGTAACAGGTAGGTTGAGGATTAAACAAAAGTGCTTATTAGGATAGGACTGCTCCTCTGCTTCTTGAGGATTGAACCAAAAGCTTCCTAGCCATGTTGAGTCTGCTACTTTGTCCCTTGGATCAGGCAGCCCTGACATAGACAATCTTGTATTAGGAGGCTTCCCAAACGTTGTCACTATTATACTTCCATTTCCATCAACCCTCCCTTGACCATGCATAATTCCATGGTGTATACCCCCATAGACCTTAACATGGGATTATGGAATGCCATACCCATCAAGTTGTACTTTTTCAATGCACCTCTTTCCTTCTTGCGAGCATGCTGGTGACCACGTAATGCTTGAGAGCTATAATTCTTCGCATACAAAAATTACATTAAAACAACTTAGGAGAATCAGGGTTTGAAGGTGTGCTTTCTCCTCCCATGCCTAAACTCAACACTCTCCTGAACCATGCATGGTTGCCTCATGATCTTTGTGCTATAATGTTTTCACAAGACACGGGAACTCACGGGAGTAAACAATCAAAGAATTCAAACACCTCTGTCAACAATCTGCGACAATATATGTATGACCGGATTTTGACAACAAAAACTACAACACAAAGAATTGAGTTTAGATTTTAATTTTCAAGAGGGGTCATGAAAGGGGGAAGTAATAGTTGTTTTGTGATTTGTTCGATTATAGTTTAGATGGAGTATTAACTTGAAAACAATTAGACCACATTAAATCTCATACCAGTTTTTACACTTTCCTTGTTTTCTTCTTCGTAATTTACTGTTGGAGCTTTCTACTACATTGTTGGAGTTCTGTGATTGCCGCTAGATGACCTGCAAACATTGAACATCATTTATCACGAAACTAAACAAAATATTACATTTAAGCATTACATTAGAACAAACACCCAAAAGAGCTACAGCTACAAGAAACCAAAAATATAATTATTAAGAGCTACAACTACAAGATACCAAAAATATATATTTCAAAATAATGGTCTGGGAAAAATCATTTTGGGTACATATACAAGAAACCTAGAATATACAACTTTATCTCCAATAGTGGTCTGGGAAAAGATCATTTTGGGTACACAGCTCTACTCGAAGAAAATTGGAGGCACTTGGGCAGGTAGTGATCTAGCACTTTAGTTGTTTAGCTTTGCATACTCAAAGAGTCAAAGCTGCTCCACCTGACAAAAATTGAATATCTTTAAGTTTTGATAGCAGTCTCTTGGTTTCCACCTCTTTTTATTACTCCTATCATATTTCACCAAAGTGGACAATTGTCCTATGTATTTCTTCTTATGTATGAGGAGGTTTTATTCTTAAACAATGCTGAAACAATGTATGATGGACAATTGAAAACCTTTTAAGCTTAAAGAAGACTATGTCAAACTTAAAAGGAGAGTAATAACCAAGCTGAAGAGCTTAAAATAAGAAAAACTTGTACGCTTAAAGAATACTATGTCAAGCTTAAAAGAAGAGAGTGATAACCCAAACTTAGAATGTTAAATTAAGAAAACCTTTGTTCTGCAAAACTAATTATTTTAGAAAAAATGGAAAAGCTTGAAAACTTCAGAAGATTATACCCTATTTAGTCTTCTTTCTTAAGGAATAAAACATTTATACCCTAAACATTTTAGGATGCATTTAGAGAAGTCTTAGCTTGTACACCACCTAAAATTCAGCTGGGCAAAAATATTTTTACATATAATGTGTACTTAATGTTTGGCCAACCTACAAAAGTCCCTCTTTCACCTGCAGATGGTAACCCATGCTTAGTCCACAACATTTTTACTTTTGGGCAGTTTCTAAACAAGTGAGGAGGGTTCTCTTATGCTGTTTTACATAACTGGCAGCCCGCTTGAACTTGCAGATGTTTTCTCCTCAAGACATCAACTGTTGGAAGCACCCCGATCGCTACTTGCCAGAATAAGAGCTTGACTTTCGGTGGGAGCTTCAAATTCCAGGCTGATGTCCAATCCCCCATCCTTTTTTTGAAAGGAGTTTAAGTATTTCATACAAATAAATTAAAACTGGCAGCACTCAAATCTCATAAGGAATCGTAGCTATTTTTCTTCCAGTAGCTTTAGAGATTTTAAAAATAGCCTGCAAAGGATAAGCTCTAACATACATGTAGTTGAACTGATAAGGACATTTACAATGATGCTTTAAAAATGTATTTATGTTATTTGAAACCACACTTTATCTGATACCTTGCACTTATTCACTTATGGAAGGATCACCTGCAGTAGTATGTTTTGAGAAAGAATCTGCAGCAATAACCTGCTACTTTTGTTTTGAGAAATAATCTGCCTAGATGCTTAAAAATTTGTCTTATCTGCTAAAGAATGAATGAAAATAGTTTCTCTGTAAAGTAGAACAATTTGAGAAAGACCATGATGAAATGTTCATGAAAAAATGTTATGAGAAGTAGAAGAAAACTGTAGCAAATTAGCAATTACCTGGTGAAGAAATTATCTCTAATGGATGTATATCCGATCAGCCAATAAAATGGAAGAATAAACAGCTACAATTTGGGGAAATTAAATATCTATAAGAAATGCAGGAAACAATTTTTATATTGGACATGCAAAAAATGTAAAGAAATGTCAAAATATCTGAAAACACCTAATATTCTAGTAATTCTACATATACAATTAGTTAATGTTTGTAATTATAGCTTAATTTTGGTAAACACACAACTACACTGCCAAGGATTTCAATTTCAGCAGCTAAATGTGCCATCTACCTAAAAATATCAGTTTGGCATCAAAGAAATTTAAGTAATCCTTACAAATTAAGTTAATACTGGCAATACTCAAATCTTGCAAGAAATCTTAGTGAGGTTTATTCACAAAAACTTGGTATCATTCAAAAAATCTGAATTTCCTTATTATATTGTTTCCTTAAAGTTTATTTCACGAATACTTTTAACTATTCTTAGTTTAGATAAATCAATCATTTAAACCAAAATTTTAGCAGCTACTGCCCCTTCAGCCATTATAGGCATTACCGCATTACCAAACTGATTCAAGAAATTTTCACATGATTGAAATTGAGTACTTTAATTAATACTCATACCCTGGGGGAGGGGGGGGGGCATATTGTTTGACAAACCATTCTGAAATTTGAGGAGTTGATGCTTCAAACATAGTTTTTGCTAATCCTAGATGACCGATGATTCTTGCAATCACGGCCGCCCGGACAGAATCAGGGCGCCCGCATATTTCATCTGCGTCTTCATTATCATATTTGCCCCAGCTTCTAAGCATCTTTCTGCCCTCCTAACCAAGAGGTCCACATCTTCAACATATTCTGCATAAAATAATGCTAGATGGTAGATGCAATGAAATTAACACATTCATATTCATATCGAACTATATACATAGTATTTTTTTTGGACCAAATTCATATCTAACTATATTCAATAATGGGTTTTAAATAAAAGTAATAATTTATAAATAATTATGTAATGAACACTTATTAAAGTATATCATATATCTATTATTGGTTGATTAAGTCCGTTCTCTATTATTAAATAATAAAATAACGGAAGGATAGTCTATTTTCCAATATTTTCTTCTTCCCTCTCATGCACTCTATCAAAACAATGTATAAAATCCCTCCTATCCTTCCCCACACATCCACTAAAGATTAAATATTTCTCCTCCCCTCCGTTGAACCAAACTCACCGTTACTCGTCATTAGTAACTCATTCAACTTTTACGAGTATATATTCCAGCAAACTCTTCCGGTTATCTTCTACTGAAAATCTTGAGGAAAAAATAAACAATGAAGAGGCCGTTTGGCAACCATGATTTTCGGCTTATCAGGCTTATCAGCCAACTTTTTCACCAAACACGTAAAGTTTGCTTTCGCGCGCTGAATTGTGTAATAAGCAGAAAAAGTAAGGTTTGAGTTACTTTTCTGGCTGTATTGGCTGAAGTTACTGTAGATGACAGTTTTAGCTATTTTTACATATAATTTTTTCTTTATTTTATTAATAAAATGTATTTTAAAATTTTTTTTTATTATATCAGTAGAATCAGCCAATGTAGCCACTTTAGCCATAACTTCATAAATTTCAGCAGAATCAGCCAAAACAGCCGATTTTCATGCTACCAAACAGGCTCGAAATATATTAGAAATAATTCGGTTGTAAAAAACATTTGGTTAAATTTAGAAAGTATAACAATGAAGCTAGCAAGCTCCAAATTAACCAAATTGTGAAGTTAGACCTTCCAACCTGTAGCTAAGCTAACACACACAACTCTCTAACTTTCTTCTCCTCCCAACTACAATTCTCCAGCTAAACAAAGGCTTAAGATACATGGACAAATACCTGAAGGTGTAGTTGAGCGAAGCAGAAGCTTCCATCAAGAGGCTGTTTGATCAAGCAATAATTTTTTGATATTGTTCGAACATACATTTCTCCACTAACTCCAAGAGCACAACACTTGATGTAAGCACATACTTTTGTTTGAACAATATTTTGTTAGTTAGCAAAAATGGGTGAATAAATACATACAACAAACATATTGTAAGGGATAGAAGCCTACCAGGAAAAGGGTACGGTGTTGTGCAGCGGAAGAGAACCCGGAACCCCTGCCACACGATGAAAACAATAGGAAGAAAATGAAAGGGGAAAAAGGAGGTGAGTAGTGTCGGCAATAATCTTCCCGCGGACGAAGGTCGATCCTCAGCCCCTAACCTAATCAATGTGGTGAAATGAGTGGTGAAATTGAAAGGAATAACCGAGAATGGAGATTGAATTGAGCCCAAAGGTTTTCCTAAAGAGGATGGTAGATAGACGGAGAGACGTTCATACGTTTACTTACGAGGAAAGTAGAGAATCGAGTACATCGACTCAAGCACACAGTACAAGTTTATTAAGCTATGATGTACCACCAACAAATTTTTAATACCCAATATACCCTTACTCTGATTCATGCTTATAATTTTGTAGAGACTAGTATAGTACCCGTGCATACGCACGGGAAAGAGCAATGGGTACATATATATTTACTCATGATCTAATCAAATATTAAAATAAAATAACTTTTGATATTAGTACCTAAAAGCGCTACATATGAGATAAAAAATTGTTCCGCTCACTTATTAGCTAGTCCGCTTATCTTATACCTAGAAGTGCTACATATGAGAAAATATTCTTCCGCTCAATTTTTAGTCTACTTATCTTCTTATACCTACAACTATTACGTATGAGACAGAAAATTTCCCCGTTCAATTATTAGTTTGCGCATCTTATACCTAAAATGACACCATATGAGAGAGAAAACTCTATCGCTCAATTATTAGTGCGCTTATCTTATACAGTTATACCTAAAAGTACTACATATGAGAGGAATTTTCTTCCGTTCAATTATTAGTTCGCTTATCTTTTACCTAAAAACACTACAAATGAGAGAAAATACTCTCTCTCACTTATTAGTACGCTTTTCTTATAACTGAAATTACTACATATATATATGAGAGAGAAAATTATTCTCCACAATAATTATTCCGCTTATCTTATATGTAATCTTAAGTAAAAGCACTACATATGACAGAGAAAATTTTCTCGCTTAAATATAAGTCCGCTTATCTTATACCTAAAAGCACTACATATGAGAGAGAACATTTTCCTACTCAATTATTAATCTGCTTATCTTATATCTAAAAGCACTACATATGTGAGAAGAAAATCTTCCACTTAGTTTTTAGTCTGTTTACCTTATACCTAAAAGCACTACATATGAGAAAGAAAATTCTCCTACTCAATTATTAGTTTGCTTATCTTATCTTATACTTCGTATGAAATATATAAAAGTATTACATAGGAGAAAAAATTATTTCACTCAATTATTAGTTTTTTTTTTCTCATAAAAATCTTATGAGAGCTACACTGTACACCCGGTTCTACAGTGTTCAACATACAACCACATATTTCATGTTATGCTTAATGAGTATAATGTTTTTTTGGATAATTAATGAGTATAATGTTGAAAAAAAATAATAATGCTATTGGTGTTAAATCACTGTATTGGTAGCACAATTGATAATTAGAAACATGTCATTGAGTATCATGATCTACACGTGATATATATGCTACAAATAATTTTTTTTAAATCCAAGGGGCGTCTAGGGGAGGGACTGCCCCCCAGAGTAATCAGGGGTGAAACCCACTCAATTGAGTTTCAAAGCCAAGAACTCCCGTAAGGGAGAGTGAGTCGGTGACCAGCTGAGCTACAAATAAACCTATTCATTTAACTATATTATCATTGTATTATCATCAAAATATTTATTGTAGTGATTTTATAATTTAATTTATTATCAATACTCATTTTGTTAGAATTTTAAGCCCATTTATTTAACATAAAATACTCAGTTGTACTCTGTGAACATTACAACCGGCTTGTACAGTATATTTTGCCCTTATCTTATATCTAAAACCATTACATATGACTTATTAGAGAGAGAAAATTATCCGGCTCACTTATTTGTTTGTTTATCCTATGCCTAAAATCACTACATATGAGACAGAAAATTATCCCGCCGAGCTATTACTCAACTTATCTCATCTCATACCTAAAATTATCTTACACCCAAAAACAATATTTAAGAGGTAAAATTCATCCGCTCAATTATTAGTCCGTTTATCTTATATACTTAAAATCACTATATATGAGAGATGAAATTCTATTCTTCAGATATTAGTCAGCTCATCTTATATCCAAACTCATCTTATATCTAAAAGCAGTATATGTGATAGATAAAAATTTTACGCTCAATTATTAGTCCAATTATTTTACACCTAAAAGCACTACATATGAGAGAGAGAAGTTTATGGCTCAATTATTAGTCCACTTAGCTCATACTTCCTCTGTTTTTAGGTGCAACATTCTCATTTTCACGTTTGCCACCACACAACTTTGACCGTCATTATATTAAATTCAATATTTTTTTTAAATTTTGAGAATGTAAATTTGCAATGTTATACCTAAAAGCACTGCAAATGAGAGAGAAAAATGTCTCATTCAATTATTCGTCCGTTTAGGTATACCTAGTATCTAAAAAGTACTACGTATGAGAGACAAAATTATCGCGGTCACTTATTAGCCCGCTTAACTTATACCTGAGAGCATGACATATGAGGAAAAGTTCTCGCACTCAATTATTAGTCTATTTAGCTTACGAAATACCGTGTGGACGTTACAACCGGTTTGTACGATATATTTTGCCATTAGCTTATACCTAAAAGCATTACATATGACTCATATGAGAGAGAAAATTACCACGCTCGCTTATTAGTTACTTATCTTATCTTATACCTAAAATCAATACCTAAAATTTCTCCCGCCTAGCTATTACTCAACTTATTTCATCCCATACCTAAAATTATCTTACACCTAAAAACAATATATATGAGAGATAAAAATTCACCTGCTCAATTTTTAGTCCGTTTATCTTATATACCTAAAAGAACTATATATGAGAGAATAAAATCTATCGCTCACTTATTAGTCCGCTTATGCATCTTATATCTAAAAGCAGTATATGTGATAGAGAAAATTTTTCCACTCAATTATTAGTCCACTAATTTTATACCTAAAAGCATCACATATGAGAGAAAAATTCTCTCGCTCAATTATTAGTCACCTAGCTTATACTTCCTCCATTTTTTTAGTTGCAATATTCTCATTTTCACGTTTGTCACCGCACACTTTGACCGTCATTATCTTAATTTCACTATTACTACGCATTATTTTTTTAAAATTTTGAGAATGCATATTTGTAAAAAAAAAATCACTATTAATTTGTTTTGAAATTAGAATTACTATTTTTTCTCATTTTTCCTTTTTATAGCTGAATGCTACGTGAAACCAAAAAACTAAATGTTACGTATGTAAGTAAATAACAAATTAAATATTGAACATATAGTATACGGAGAATTACATAGAACTGTACAAATAAGTAATTATATGAAGTATCAGTGTCATATAAAAGAAGAAAAGATAATAAAAAGTTATTAATTTGAATACTTTTTTGGAAACAGTAGAATGCAAACAAAAAAGTTATATCACTTTAAAAATAGAGAGAATTTTCTCATCTGAATTGGAGAGAGAAATTTTTTATAGACTTTCAAAAAAGTGAGAATTTTATCATCTAAATTGTCTATGTGTACGCTTTTATAATCACTTTGATATAATTTTAGACATAATTATAGTCACTAAAAATTAATAAGTCATATCATTATTCATTATTCATATTTTGTACATATATTGGGAATTTTATAGTTTTTTAATACGGAATATTCTGCATAGAGGATGGAAAATAGAAAGTTGCTTAATAAATCTCCAGATTTTGTTAAAAAAGTTTATGTATGCATTATTGGTGTAATATGAAAGATCGTAAAAAATTATGAATTTTGATATATTTTTTATAAAAATTAGAGAAAAACTGAAAAAGTTACAACACTTTAAAAAAAAGGAAATTTTTATACAATGGGCCCCATTAATTAATTGATGCCACGTTTTTTAATTGAAATAAAAATCCTCACCTTCGTTGATTAGCCTTTAGTGTTGGTATTTTCCGTTTAATTCCTTGAGTTGGCCACGTGGACTTTTGTAGAGCAAAGGAGAAAATTTTGGAGAGAAAGACAGGATTTATTAAGGATATAATTGTCATTTAATGAGCTAGTTATTTTCTTATATATAATAAATAGACTACTACCTCTGTCCCTGAATTTACTTCATCATATAGTGGCACGCGGATTAATCGTATTTAATCTTATTTAAATATTTGACGAGGCAGTATATGTTTAGTACTTTAGTTCTCTTTTTTAATCTTATTTTATTTATGGCGGTATATTATACTGATAAACTTTTAAAATACAAACAGACGTATATTTTGATTTTGGTTATTTAACATTTGTCAATATATTGAAGTTTGTGAATGATTGCATAATTGATGCTGAAATCTTAAGCCTTTGGTATCACATAAGCGAGCTCAACATTTGCAGGAATCCATTCTATCTTACCGCAGCAACAATGGTGTACGGCTATCTTGTAAGGTGACAACTCCGGTACCCTTTTAAAATTTGAGGTACCGTACCTACCATGCATTTGATTGATCTAAATCTTATTCCTTTTAATTTAGATTTAATTAATTCAACTGCATCATTCCTATTCCTATTGGTTCATGTGGATAAAGGTATGGTACTTTAAGAGTACCATAGAATCTACCATCTTGTAATTAAACTACTTGTCTATGTGGTTGAATTGCCTAAACAAACAAACTTCCTGAAAATTTATCTTATTTGGGCTAGTTGAATATGATCCAGTATCAATCATCCTCTCAAGTTCATTGGTATCTTCCCTTCTTTCTATATACCCTTACATGTTTACTTCAAATTTGCACTTAGAGTTTCAATAGAATCACAATTTTGTCATCAAAGGAAGGTATAATGAATTACAATTTAACCTACATTTATGTGGAGTTTGTGATATTTGAAGTTCAATTTAAATTAAATTTCAGAGGCACATTTTACGTTGATTTGTTTAAATTAAACTACGTAGTTAAGAATTGCAGTTCAATTATAGTTTTGATATACAAAATTCAGTTTAATTGAATGTTTTATGAACTTATGAAATGTTTCAGAAGTATTTGTTATTCAGGGAATATTTACTTGTTAACTTACGCAAGTCGTTTTTTTACTTAAACAAAATTATTATTTCTGAACCATGAATTCATGATAGATTGGTATCACGTTTAAAAGTGTTTTAACTAATGTATTTTATGTTTGTTGCTTAAGTGTTACATGGTGACTCAAAGTGGGTTAAAAAGAGGATGCTTAATTAATGCACTCCACATCATCTTCCATATAAGCTATCATATACGTCGTATTTGTTTCTCTTCACTCAGGTAGAAGAGACTGTACTTTGCTGATTTTTGCTAATCTTAATATATGGACATTGATTTTAAATCATCTGAGGAAAAAGAGGTCACTATGGAAACGGAAAGCAAGGTACCACTGTTTGAGTATCATGCTCTTTTTAAGTCTTCATTTTTTTAAATTTCTTCCCAAAATGTACACATTTCCACTAGTTGCGAACTCTTATGGTTTGGTGCTCTTTATAATAGGGCACGAAGAAGGTTGACATTTCCAATTCAATGGAAAAGCTTCAAATTGAGGGGAATTCATCTAAATTCAATAGAAAGCCAGTTATCATCATTGTGGTTGGAATGGCAGGTAAGTCTACCGCATTGGGGTTTTCAACCCAGTTAAAAATATATCTTTGCTTTTATTATTATATAAGAGCAGGTAATTAATGTAATTCTGCTGGACATTTGCAAGAATATATCTACATTATTTATTTTATTCTTGTAATATACAATGATTGCAAATGTCTGCAGTACAATCATGATTTTCATTTACTTCGTAATATTTAAGGATTCAAATTGTACATTTCTTAACTAGGAAGTGGGAAAACTACATTTCTTCATCGACTTGTATGTCACCTTGATCCTGCTGTAATGACCCTTCCATTTGGAGCGAATATTGATATAAGAGACACAGTTCGCTACAAGGAGGTTATGAAACATTCAACCTAGGTCCTAATGGAGGAATCCTTACTTCTCTAAACTTGTTCGCTACAAAGTTTGATGAGGTGAACCTTTTTCTTTTTGTTCTTTCAATTTTGACCAAATTTAAACGAGTCTGTTCCTTTCTTTTCATGTTGTTCCTGCCCTTTGTCCATTTTCTCTTTTACAAGATTATTTTATTATAAAGCCTTTTTTGTAAGTGTTTCTTGTATATATGTTGTATCAGTTTATTATACTTGGTTTAAAGTTGGTACATATAAACTGAAATCCCATCTCTCGCAAAGAATGTCCACGATGTCACAACATTGCTACAAAGAAATAGCACAAAAAATCTATTTTTTTAAAGACACCATTTTCAATCACATTATCTCATACGTAGTAAAAAAATTGGAAGCCAAAGGTATTAGAAACGCTTATTATTTAGGGAATCGGGTTTCCGAAATCTTCTTAATTATAGAGACGGGCCTGGAATAAGAATTTGAAGTTTCTGAGTTCCCGAAATGGGGAAACATAAGTCACAAGAAGTATCCATGCTTCATAGCTTTTCATAGTAAAAGGGTTCTAGAGAGGCCCATTGAAGAAAAATATTAAGGGACAGACACCTTTTTATGCAATTATGACACACCTATGACCTATGTGACCAGGGGCGGAGCCAGACTTCACTACATGGGGATATAATGCAAGTATTAAAATGTAAAGGAAAATTTGCAAATTTTGTCCCACAAATTTACTTTGTGCCCATTTTTGTCTTGATACTTCACTTGCTCGAAAATTTGGTCATTTAATTAATAATTTTTTCAATTTAAGTACTTCCCCACTCGAAAGTACATTTTCCTACAGATATTTCACCGCAAAATATGCCGCCAATGTTGAATTTTTCTGCAGAAAATGTACTTTCCGGTGAAAATTTCTTAAACTGCAAAGACCTATTAGTTAGAGGACCTAATCATGCAAGTAAAGTTACAAAACTAATAGTGGGGACAACCAAAAGTTACAGGACCATAATTGCAAATCTCTAAAAGATAAAATTTAAAATATAAAATCTAGAAATATAGAGACTTACATCTTGCCTAATTGCTTTCATAATTTAATTTGGGGGGGAGGGGGCAAATAATTTCTATTTCTAATAGTAATACTTCAGAAAAATTAAAGTCATATAGGTCAGATAGCTCTTCTATTGTTGATTAAGTTGTAAAACTATATCGCCTATAGGTCATATTCATCCTTGTTATTATTAATATTTCTTGGCGGTAATTGCGTTGACGGTATGACTTGTGAATGGGAACACTAATTTGTTTGACATTTCATTTAATATATAAAAATATACATTAAAAGAGAGTTGGGTACTTGGGGTGACGGTATGAATAGTAAATGGGGACACTAATTTGTACTAGAGGGAGTACATTCATTAAAAGAGTTTGAGCAAATGTCTAAAAGTGATTAATTGATTTTGAAACCATTTTTTCCCACTCCATAATGCTTTCTTCCAAATTTTCCCAATATTTTCCTCCCTGTTTTCAATCTCTAGCTTTCTCCATGTTAACTGTACCCTATGTGATTGTGAGAATTACTTACCCACCTTTTAATGTTTGTTGTTCTTGAGTGACTATGAGATCATGTCTCTTAAAAAATTGCAGGTAATATCAGTCATAGAAAAACGGGCAGACCAACTGGACTATGTTCTCATTGACACACCTGGTCAGATAGAGATCTTTACATGGTCTGCTTCTGGTGCAATTATCACAGAAGCTTTTGCATCTACCTTCCTTACTGTTGTAACATATGTTGTTGATACCCCACGATCTGCTAGTCCTGCCACTTTTATGAGCAACATGCTTTATGCATGCAGTATCCTATATACAAAACACGACTGCCTCTCGTATTGGCCTTCAACAAAACAGACGTAGCACAACATCAATTTGCTTTGGAGGTATAGCTAAACTTTGATTTGTTTTTTTTTTGTTCAAAGTTTTTGGAGAGGAGGGTAGAAAGTGAGTTGTGTGTAGTTGGTTTGGGGAGTTAGAGGAAGGAGATAAAAGCGGAAGGGCTTTAAACAAGGTTCGAAATTGTGTATTGCGTAGTTGTGGCATTTTTTAGGATTGCATAATGCGTAAACCTCATTATGTAATGAGACATATGTCTGAGACGTAAAATTGTATGTGTATATATATGTATATGCATAAATATAAATAGAATAAAAGTTGAAGAAATTTAATATTAACAGAAAACTAAAAGAATATAAGATCATACACGGAGTAAGCTAAAACAAAATCTTTGATGCATTGAAAACGTGGAAAGATATCATTAGTCAAGATTATTTAAAGGGGATATATGTATATAATACAGGTCATACTTTATCTTTAGTAAAAAGTAAAGAAACCTTAGTTGCAATGTTGCATTGGAAGCCTGAAACCCGCCTGATTGCAATATCCATCTTGTTACAAAAATGATAATTGCTCAAAAATATGCAATTTAACCCAAAACCCTTCAAAAAATTTGGAAATTGAAGTGCTAAATAGGGTCCTATTGGAGATCCTTCCTTTGTATTCTGAGGTGGAGTTGCTACAGGAACTGTTCAGATTAGGTGGAGGGTTAAGTTACTTAACGAATGGTACACAATTACTTTGATTACATTTTGAGGTGGATTAGTGATCCTGCCTTATCATTATGTGAGCTTAGTGGATGGAGGATTTTGAAGCATTTCATGCAGCACTTGAGTCAGACGACTCTTACACTTCGACCCTTACACGAAGCCTGTCCCTTTCACTGGAAGAGTTCTACAAGAATCTCAAGTCTGTTGGAGTCTCTGCAGTTTCCGGCACTGGGATTGATGAATTCTTCAATGCCATCAATGCAAGTGCTGAGGAGTACATGGAAACTTACAAGTATGTACTAAATGTACTCCGCTCTTCCGCTGTTTGTTCCATAATCTCCTCTTGTTTTGTGTTTTATGTCCTCCAAAAAAAATTAGTTTTGTATTCAAGTTTCATAATTATTAAACGTAATATCTGATTTAAAGATATAATTTGTTCTATATATTATGAAGATGAGTTAGTACACGGTTTCAGCTTCCTTGACTTGCAGTAGAGGCTAATACTCAATTAGGTCCTCAACTATGCAATTTGAACAAATTTAGCTTCTTATACAGTCGTGGTTCCTGTTGGTATATTTAAAATATGTAAATATGGTGTTAGACTTGTATAGCTTCCTTAGGCTGTGTGTTCTTTCTTTTTAACTCTATATATGCTCTCTCTTGTTGTCTTGCCTTTCATATCCATGCAAGATCAAGACCCTGATGGAGGGATAATTCTTACATAATGTAATTCCTTTCCATTTATACACTAACCTACGGAAGTAAACATTCTATAGTGAATTAGCTAATGATATTCTATTCTTCTAAGATGAAGGGTATCAACATGATTCACTACATTTAGACCATGTTAACTGGACCTAATATAGTTACCCTTCAGAATAAATGACTGACAAACTGAGCATAGATTGCATACTGGAGGAGACCACACTGAGCCCAAAAGAATGTTGAAAGAACCTAATGTTATCCTCAGCCTACAAAATTACCCTTTAGACTGTTGGAGTTAGTGTTAGTATGACTGGGGTCTAGAATGAGTCTAAACTGCATAGTTGATGCCCAAATGGTGAAAGTTGAAAACCAAGGTGCGTTAATTTTTGAAGAAACTCAAATGTTTTATAAACAAATACAGCAAAACATACCTAAAATGCAAAAATAGGAGTTAATGTTTACAATTCCGTAAATAGGAGTAATAATTTGTGTTTGGACAAAAACACCCTTGTAGGGTTTGAAGCTATCACTTATTGCCATTTGACAGCCGCCAGTAGCAACAATCCTAAACTCTAACCCTAAACATTAGGGTATTTTTGTCCACACACAATATATTACTCCCGTTTAGGGAAATTAAAGCATGAACTCATAACCTCTTTTTTTGGCACTATCCTTATGCTTTACACCTATTTTAGGCAATTTCTAAATAAAAAACTTGTTTTAAAAAGCAATGAAATGAAGAAATTCATATTTCAACTACTTACATTTTATTTTATTGTTTTTTCTTGTTTTTCTTTATGGAATGGTTAACACTGAAAACAGAAGTGCAGAGAAGCAATAAAAAAATGGAATGATTGACACCTTAAAGCTATAAAAAATGTTACTATTTTTATTTTATTTTATTTTGTGCTGTATCTTTATAGAGCCGAACTTGACAAGAGGCGGACGGAGAAGCAACGTCTGGAAGAAGAACGCAGGTTGGAGAACATTGAGAAATTGAGGAGAGACATGAACAGTTCAAGTGGAGAAACTGTTGTCTTGAACACTGGTTTAAAGGACAAACAAGGAAGAAGTAATAGCATGATGGAGGAAGATGATGGAGATGATGATGATGATCTCATAAGTGAAAATGATGAATAGGTTGCAAGTTTCCATTTTGAGAAGGTTAATGTGGTATTACATGTTTGTTTTCTTAGACAAACATGGTTCACTCACTTCACTGCGTGTATATATTACTGACATGATGAAACTGAACTGGACCAGCTGGTTTTTCTTTCCCCGGTAGAAGGCTATTTTTTAATGACGTTGGCGACTACTTCCTCCGTCCCACTTTGGTTATCATATATATTCCTTTTGATTGTCCCAAAATGAATGTCTTGTCTCATTTTTGCAAAAAATGTGATAAATATCATTTCACTTTATTTTATTCAAACATCAATCAATCTTTACTTTTCAACCACTTTATTAATACATTTGTTAAACTAAAACAAAACATCCAAGTTGGGACAGATGTATGTCTTAAAAAATTCTAATCGAACATTGAACACTGCAGTATGTGTGTGTGTGAGTGTGTGCACATGTGTGTGCGCGCGCGTGTGCGTGTGTGTCAGGACATTTTGCTACTTGTCAGTTGTCATATCAAGTGATGCATATGCAACTATTTCAAACTTGCATATTGTCTTGCACTTCAATACATCTGTTATTATCTGTAAAGGCTAAAATAAGCATTCGACTGCAAGAGGGAATACTGTCAATTTTTTCTGACAAATTGATATTGGCTGACTCCTCAAAATAGTTTGAAACTCCTCAAACTATTATTCCAGACAGTGATAAATGTGTACACCACCCTTGCAAGAACTTGAATATTGTTCAAGAATCAAGTTCACCATTTTTGGTGTGGTACATCGGAAATAAGGATGGACCGGTTCCGGTCGGCCCGGCCCGCCACTGTGCGGGCCCGGCCCGGTGAACCGGGCCCGGTTCCGGAATTAGGCCCGACAGGAGGGAGTAGCCGGGGGCGGTTCTGGGACTTGTAAAATGTGAACCGGCCCGGCCCGCGCCTTATTATTTTTTGTTTTGTTTTTGTTTTTTCGGGTTTGGGCTGGGTTTAGGTGGGCTGGGTTGGGTTGGGTGTATCCGAGGGGTTTGTGGGGTGGGGAATGGGGGTGGGGGTTGGAATAAATAAGAAAACTCCAAAAATAAGAACGGAACCGGTAGACTCCCGGGCCGGTCCCAGGCCTTCCCCAAAAACATCCAAGCCCGGTTGGGCCCAGGCCCGAACCGGAACCGGACCAGGCCCGGTCCATCCCTAATCGGAAAGGAGATTAAAAAAAGTTCTCCAACTATTCGACACTATATTTACATTAATTTTTATTCAAAACAATTGCACGCTATTACTTTTATTAATATAGTTTGTATTCCTTTGAAATTAAAGAAATTTGAACCAAACTAATATCATATATAGTTACTATAATTAATAGTGATCAGTTGATCACTACGACCATTAATATGGTCATTGCATCATTGGCTGTAGCTCAAGTGATTTAAATCCATAAGAGTGAAACTTTAGTCTTTGAAAAGAAAAAATGACCAAAATAATACGTGAGGCTTTCTAGTAGACAAAAATAAGTCGTGTTCTCAATTTGGACAAAAAGGAGATTTAACTTTACAAACTGGACCGAAATACCCTTAATTACCCTATCCTTAATTCATTCTCCCAGTTGTCCGTCAATTCCTTCGTTTTCAAATCTTCCTCTCCAACAACGCACCTTCATCGCCCTAAGCCAGAGCCGCACCTCCTTTGCCGCAAGCCATGGCCAAATCACGATCGCCGCAAGACATAGGCAAACCACCATCGCCCATCGCTGCAACGCCTCCATCATCGTGATTGTTCGACCGCCGCACCTCCATCACCAAAGATACTTCTCTGCTTTTGAGATTGATATTTTCTTTTGATATGCTATTGAGATGACGATCCGGTGGGCTAGCGTTTCAATGACGTGCGATTTCGGTCCCAGGGGGACGGTGATGGGCTGGCGGCTAGGGTTACGGGCGGTGGTGGTGGAATGGCGGTTGAGGGTTGGGGGCTGAGGCTGGGGGTCGAGGCTGTGGCAGGTTGGGCTGATGGGGATGGGGCAGGGCTTGTAGAGGAGTGGCATGGCTAGGCTGATGGGTAGCAGGGCAGCAGAGCTAGGGTGATGGAGGCAGGGCTGTTGTGACGGTGGTGGGGCAGGGCTGTGCGTGTGGTGGTGGAGCTGGCGGCATCTGCCCATATTGGGGCGGTGACGGTCAGTGGTGGTCACCGAAATCACTATTGATGATAGTGACTATTGAGGCGGCGAGGGTGAGTGTATTTGGAGGCAACAATTCATTGTCAATAGGTCACTGGATGGCGGGTCAATGGCGAAGGCGTCGGTGACATGTAAATGTCACTAGCGAATTGATAGTGACTTGCTGGAGCGGTAGTAACTGGGACGGTGATCACTGGAACAGTAATTACTGGGACGATAGTCACTGGAACAGTAGTAACTGAGACCGTCATCACTAGAGCGGTGGTAACTGGAACGGGCTAATCACTGGGATTGTAGGCCATCGGGGAAAAAATGGATAAATAAAAGTAGTTGAGTTGAGTAACTGTAACTGGTAAAATTGGATAATGGTAAAATTGGATAAATAAAAGTAGTAGAGTTGAGTAATTGTGATTGGCTAGTTCACGTGACTAACGAGAAGGGTGGATATTGGTCAATAGACAAACGGATGATTGGTACTAATCGGGCGGAATCAATGTGTTATTGGGTGAAATTTTTGGTAACTAATGATTCTTGGTCACTAATGATTTTCTGTCACTGGTGCATTTTGGTTTTTTAGTCACTAACGATTTTGGTCACTGGTGAATTTTGGATTTTTTAGTCACTAACGATTTTTGGTCACTGGTGAATTTTGGATTTTTAGTCACTAATGATTTTTGGTCACTGTGGTGATATTGGTCACTGTGACGTTACTGTAGCACTAATAGGGGTAAAGTAGTCTCCTACACTCTTTTTAGTCTCATTTTTGGAATTTGAGGAAAAAGTTCACTTTTTTGTCCACAACCAGTTTTTTAGTAATATTTTAGACATAACCCCAGGCTTGCTGCTTGCCGATTTGCAGGCCCCTAATCGATAGTACTAATACTTAGCATCTTTTATGTGGAGGCCCCCATGGCAAGTGAGGCCCAAGGCAGTTGCCTTGGTGAACTGGCCCCAAAGCCGCCTCTGGGTGCACACGTGCCATATGAGATAGCCACATAAATATTAGTAAATTAATTCTTTCTCTCCTTATTTAAATGATTTTATACAGTATTGGTAAGTTTTTCTCCACAATGTCAAGGAGACCGTCTAGATGTTGACATTGTTGTTGACATTGCAGAGAAAAACTTACCAAAATTGAATAAAATCATTCAAATAAGGAGAAGGATAATTTATTTGCTAATATTTATGTGGCTATCAATCATGCCACATGTGCACCGTGCACATTATAGCATTGAAGATGCTCTAAGAGTGAGGCAGGATAGGATCACGAAGTGGGAGTCTCAAAAGGAACCACCTACCATAGCCAGCAACTCTTCTAGCCTGTTGACATTCCAAATTCAGTATGATCAGTTTGCAATCCATTAAAAAAAGTGTTTTTAACTTTTTTTTTAAAGAAAAAAGCACTTATTTTACCAAACACTACCAACTTTTACTTTCTCGGCTTCCGTGAAGAATCTACTTTTTACTTTTTCTATTACACAAAAAAACTTATTTACCAAACACTACCAACTTTTACTAGTAATCACTTTTTCCCCAAAAGTGCTTTTATTTAAGCACAAGTGGTTGCAAACAAAGCCGTAATATTGTGCCTCATAAGGTGCTTGTAAAGAAGTGCATCCAAGTATCCAACGTATAACTTTGTCACTCCTATTTTGGATTGATTTATAGTCTTAACTAATTTAAGATAACTACTTTCACGATAAACTTAATAGGAATCATATAGTTTAGAGCTCGCAGTATTGACTATTGAGTCAAATTAAGAAACAAATTTACCCCTTCATAGTTAACAAGGAGGGCCTTTTGAAGAGGGTTTGAATCAGCAGTTTTATAGTAGCCTCCAAGTATTTTAGAACTACCTCTCTGTAATCCCGTAAGGATCTGAAGGCGAGAAACCAACACTGTCACTAAAATATGGATGGTTCTGATCAACTTTTAGTCTCAATTCAACAGCAATACCGGGTTCTTCGAGACCATCTACCAAGTCGGTTAAGACTTCACCACCACCGACTTTTCCAGAGGTTTTCAGCCTTTCGCCAATGCAATCTTATTAAGTAGCTTAAGCTGCAAGAATGGAGGGAGTCCAGTACTAATGTTTTAACTTTTAACAATTAAGATTTAAGAGAAGAAGTAGAACATAAATGGATTCTTATCAATCATGACGCCGTGGACCCTGGAAAATACTCCGTACTACGTAAGGGGTGGGGGTTATAAGGAAGTTTGTTTTCATGATTTCACAGGGAAAATAATCAAATAGGTCCTCGAATTTTCATAAAAAAGTCAATTAAGTCCTTCTATAGGAGACTTTGTCTGGTCGTTGCGATTTGGGGCGGTTCCCGGTGGATTTTTTTGATGAATTGTTTTTTAGCATCTTATTCATCAAGTCTAGTTTACTCATACCAAATTTCAGATAAAAATTTAATCGGGAGCGTATTCAAATTAATTCAAGAACGCAAAAATGCGTCGTTATCTTCAAGAATTAATTTGAATGTCTTCCCGATTGAATTTTTAGCTGAAATTTGGTATGAGTAAACTAGACTTGGTGAATAAGATGCTAAAAAAATTTCATCAAAAAATTCCACCGGGAACTTCCCCAAATTGTGACGGCCGGACAGAACCTCCTATAGAAGGACTTAATTGACCTTTTTATGAAATAAGTTCACATATGTTTGAAGTTCTTGGCATTTTTAGATCCAAGAAAATAAATACGTGTTTGAACCACAAATATCATTACAAATAACTATTGAGTTTGAATCCAATGTTTTATTTTCCTCCAATTCCTCCAAACATCCCTTGTTATATTTATCCCTGTGTTTTCCAGTAGCATTTTCTGAGTTCCAAATCGACTATAAGAAAAACGGGATATGAGAGACAAAAATGGTCATTACTCATCAAATTGATACCCCAAAAGACAGTGCTCAGGTAAAGAGAAATACATCATCAAGCCAGTGATTCTCCTTGGGAGCTCCATGTCCACTGGTTTCAATAGCCAAATGTTACACCAAGCAAACTTCAATCATAAAGAAACTTAAATTTGTCCAAGGTTCAAAGAAACTGCACATAAACTATGACCAAT